ATATGGAGGCAGAGTTCATGTAGCTTTAGATCCATTTCCAAAAGAAAAGTGAGGAACAGTTATTAGTGTGAGACAATAAAATGTTGGCCGCCTGATGCCAGAACCCCCACAGATGGAGCACTTACTGCAATTTCTGCAGCTTACAGTTTTTGTCCTGACCTCATCTGCCATGCCAGATCAGAAAAATAAAATAATGCCCCATTGAAAAAGAGAGGGGAAAAAATGTACCGTGACACATAAATCGCCTTTTCTGTCCAGGACAGGCAAGTTCACGACACAAACACACTCACATGGTCTCAATTTCTGAGTCTTCATAGGAATAACATCTAATTATTTATCTAGAGTTCTAATTTAGGGCATTTTTCTTTAAGTCTTTTTTTGATCATGTATAGAAATCATATCAATCCCAGAGTACAATAATTAGAAATGTCTCACTCTATCGGCTTGTTAGTAGTCACAGTAACTTTTGGTGGTGTGCGCCTCTATAGCACACTGTTACAGGTTCAGGTGAAGCAAACAAGAAGAAAACAACTGGAAAGTTTGAGGTTTAACCTTTAAACAAAGGGCAAAACTCCACAGATGGACTCAAAGATTGCAGAGCTTTGCTCCTCTTAGAGGCCTTTTAAGGAGATGACGATTTTAACCAGCTGTAATGTTCAGGGAAGTTAATCTGCTGAGTGCCCGCGCAAACTAAATCAAAACAAATCTTACAATCACCATTCCTTCGCACATGTTAAATCAGCGTCACCGCCCCATCCTCTCCTCTCTCTATCTGCCCAGTGGGGTGTGTGAAAACTTCACCTCCAAAATAAGAGCCGTCCGTCAGCTTGGTGTCTTTGCTGCTCTTCGTAATGACGCTGACGACGCCGTGCTGGATGAAGTACATCTTCTTCCCAATGGTTCCCTCCCTGATGATGTAGTCGCCCGGTTGGAAGACCTCGAAGCGCAGTTTGGTCAACATGGAGGTGACAAAGTTGGGGTCGGCGTTGGCGAACAGAGGCATGGAAGCTACCAGTTTGCGGCAGTTGAAGTTGATGATTTCCTGAGGACGACGCAGGAAACCAGCTGTTAGTGACGGTGACCGTTATGCCTCCTCAAACAGGCTAGGACACGTCTACGGACTACACAAACATGTTCATTACATCTTTATGCACAAACTCATTCTTAGATGATAAGATTTTAGTCATTACTGCCTCTGTTGAGTTCCTTTCAGAATGGGCTGCTTTAAGGCTTCTTTGTTATGTTAAATACAAATAAGTTGCAGCTAGCCACGCCCCTCAACTCAACGTTTACATTCACACGTGAAAATGGCTGCAAACAAACGTGCAGTTATACAACTACGCATTTTTGAAAAGCAGAAGTAGAGCCTCCTGCACAAGCAACAAGAAGGCAGCAAGTGGTTTCTGGATGGTAAATCAATATGAAAACACTAGTTTTTTCCAGCAGCCATTGTACAGC